AGTCCCATCTTTTGCCATCAACTGTAATTTCAACATGCATCTTGCTGTATGTGGTAGTATTCTTAAAGTTCTGGTCATAGCTGATAATATATTAGCTTTAATTTAAAAATTAAGTCACCTGCTTATTAAGATTGTGGAAAAGGTTTGAGAAAGGCCAGTTTAGTTTAGTAAATGCTGAGCAGAAGAGAACTTCAGAATAACACTATCAGTTTCAGGATTTTTTTTGGGATGAATTTTTTTTAATCTATCCAGGAAAATGGTAGTTTATTTTAATCCAGATTATAATATTTGCTATGTTTTAATTACTTTTTAATCTGCTCTTCTTACAAAGCAGAAGTACTTTGGTGAACCCCACAGCAGTACTTTGTTTAAGTGGGATCATGGCTCTCTTCTTAATTTTGGTCAGTTTTTGGTTTCTATGTGCCATATTCTGCACCTGTGTTGGAGTAGGCCCATATCCATGTGGTCACCTCTATCACTTTGTAATTTTACCTTCCATCACATTAACATTTATTGCTCTCTTTACAGCATTCCCTTCACTATATCCACTAGAAAACCTACTAATTCTAATTACTTGCAAATAGTAATGGTAATTTTAATGACAACCTCAGTAAATTGCTTTTATATGCTGTAAGAAAATTGAAAACTAAATGTCCATTTTGCTGCTTAATAAGAATCTTATAGAACAACTAATATTACTGGTGCTCCTTCTGTGTAGTGGGAGCACAAATAAGAATCTCTCAGTACCCATTGAGAATCCTTTTTTGAAGGCGTGGGTTAACAGGAGTTGAGGAGATAGAGTAGATAGAAATAGAAATGGAGGTGCAAGGAAAATGAAAGAGGAAGGTTGGAGAGACTGTGAAAGAGGTTGAAGCATGAGGAAGATCAAACAGGGTGGAGGCAGCCCTGTTAAGACTCTAGGGGCACCTCTGGATAAAAGACAGGGACTTTTGTCTCTCTCTTTCCTGTGGTCTTTGGGAGGTTGAGTGCAGGCCTGCTGCAGCTGTAGCAGTGTTGGGCCAGGGTGGAGGGATGCAGGAGGTAACAAACATCAACGTCGTTGCAAAAGCAGTACAAAGACTGCTTTTTCAGCAGTAGAATGGTCAGAAAACATGCCACATGTCTTACAGGTGCAGAAGAAGATCTGGGGGTGCAGGTGAAGGCAAGTCAGTGCCAGTGCCCTCTGGTGCTGCCCAGGTTTGTGTGTGTGCTGTGCAGCTGCTGCCAGCTGGGACTGGGGCTTTGGGCATCCCAACGCTGCTGCTGTCCTGTGGGTCTCAGATTCAGTCAAAGAAAGAAACTGAGAGTTTCTAGCCAGGCAAAAGCCTGGGAAAGAGCTAGAGAAGAATGTAAATAATTCTTTATCTCTCTTGTTTTTCACATTGTTTATAGTTAAGTTCTGTCACTGTGCGTCAAGCACTCTGCACCAATGCTGTGGTTGTTTTCACTTCAGAACCAATGGAGTTAGTCCTCACAAAGCTCTGTATAAAAGAGCAGTGTATTTTGAATAAATAGGAGTTTTACTCTCACAGCCTTCTGATCAGAGTCTTCTCATTCCCGTCCTGCCTGGACAATGACGCTGTCCCACCAGGGCACAGTCCTGGCTCTGCCTGGGCTCTGCCATCCCTCTGCCTGCCCCCCAGCAGGGCAGCATCCCCAGCATCCCCAGCATCCCCAGCTGCTGGGAGGCAGCAGGGCAGCATCCCCAGCATCCCCAGCATCCCCAGCATCCCAGCTGCTGGGAGGCAGCAGGGCAGCATCCCCAGCATCCCCAGCATCCCAGCTGCTGGGAGGCAGCAGGGCAGCATCCCCAGTATCCCCAGCATCCCCAGCTGCTGGGAGGCAGCAGGGCAGCATCCCCAGCATCCCCAGCATCCCCAGCATCCCAGCTGCTGGGCGGCAGCAGCATCGCGGTGCTGCAGACGGGGCCAGCGCCTCGCTCGCACCACGGGCACCGCCTGTGTCACCCACGGCTGCTGCGGGGATTTGGCTGGAGTGGAGGGCTGGGTGGTTTGGCAGAGATTTCCACTATGGGCCCAGGCAAAGATCTGGGAGAGAGGGAGCTCTGGGTTGGGAAACGGTGGTGCAAAGAAATCTTTACTTGTCCCAGGCTCCTGCCCTGACTGCCCCCAATCCATAGCCTGATGTCCCAAGAGAGGGGAGAATTGAAAAGGGATCTCCTTACACAAACCTTTCCCAGAGGATTCTGGCATGAAAAGTAGCTCTGGATAAGATCCATTTGCTTTTAAAGTAGTCAGTACCTGGTAAGAGCCAAACTCCTGCCTGTCTTAATAATTTAAACTTTGCAGAACAGAAGCTGGGTGAAATTTTGACCTTATAAATTACTGCTGCATAAGTAATCCTCAGGAACACTTCCAGTATTGTTAACTGTTTGTAGTTACTCTAGGACTTGGGAATAATTCTACACTTTTGTAATAGAAATAAAACATTAAATGTGTTGCAGATTGTAAATTTTGCATTCAAATATGATTTAAAAGCTTAAGAGGAAGTTGGTATTAATGAGAAGAGTTTGCTTAGACATCCTGGTTTAATTCAGATGCAGTTGATGCCCCTCTTCTACATTTAGTCTTGGTTTTAAAAGATAAAAATAATTTGTATAATGTTACAAGTATGCCAGAAACAATAGTTAGAGACATATGTATCAAAAGAGAAAAGGCAAGGGGCACATTATAGCCAGGGCTGGTTTAAAATACAAACCCCCCCAAACCAGTCTGTATTCAGATTGATATGTAGAGGAATGTGAGGTTTGGGCAGATATAAATTGAATGACAGGTATGACTATGCATAGCTATGGTTTGTAAAGACTTTGCACCTAATTCAGCTTTCACCCAAGATATTTCTCACTGCTGTTTGCACTGTCAATGACTTGGCTTGTGTTCTGCCTTTTAAAAAGATTGATTAACCTGTCCCCTCTGATTTTTGAGATGCTTGAATTCACAGTGCTTTTTAATTCTGTAGCAGCATATATGAATACTGTAAGCTGAAGTCTGTTCATGTTGCAATACCCCATTCAGAGCTGTTCCGCAGAATTTTGTTTTAAATAGTGGAATTCAGCAGTTGACTCCCAGGCACAAATAACCATGTAATTACTCTGCAATCACATAGTAATTAGCATATACTATTCATATATTGCATAATTATATGCCCTGCAGATTACATAGTAATTATATTTGTACTAAACATATAATTCTATATACAGTAAAAAAAACTTTGAGAGTTCATAGTTAATATTATAGTTATATGCTAATGTAGTACAACATTTTATATACAAATGTTATGATTTATGAGAGGGTTGCATCTGGTGTTGCATAATCTGTTGTAGGCTGCTGTTAAAAGAAATGCTGGGCTCTTAATTTATAGTCAAATGTTGCATATTTACAGTTTTGTAATTTATGAAGATAAGATGCAGAAGTTGCCATTTTGTTGTGCAAGTAGCTGAGATTGGGAAGGACTTGGGGTGTGATTGTTGAATTACAAAGATTAAATGTACAATCAGACTGAACACAGTTCCAGCACACTGCTAGAGTGAAACATAAATCCAATGCTCTTTAGCTTTGTGTTATTTTTGGGTAGGTAAGATGCATGGGACAGTTGCAGGTGATCTATTTGAATAATGGGAAGTGTGTGCAAGTAGCCAAGGCCCATCTTGGGCACAGTGTGTTCCAAGAAATGCTCAGTGCAGCATCTCAGCCAAGCTGGTCCATGTTTTCCTGCAGTGGAAAAAGAGAAAAGGTTGATGTCCTGATCTGCTAATGGCAGGCAGTGTGGTAGGAGAATGGAGATGAGTGGCAGTGAGTTGTAGAAAGACCTTGGACTGAGTTTCTGGGTAAAGGTGAACAATCTAGGAAAAAAAGGCTTTTTGTGAGTGTAATTTAGAGCTTTGGATCATTTAAAATGTTTCATCTTCAGCCAGCCCCCCCCAAGAGGTTGCAGCAGATTTTAGATATTTGCAAAATGTTTTGTTCAGCTTGCAAATTCTGTAGCTGTGGGAAATTAATGTATTTTCTTGGATCTCTGATGTTGGCATTCCTAACGTTCAAAGCAGCATTACAATTATTCTTAATTGAATTTTGCAATCTGATGCCAGTTGCCTTAGTTTTCAAGCAAAGCATCTATTGGGTTTTAATATCTGAGTAATGTATTGAGAAATTAAATATGTAATTATAACTTAACTTACATCTGAGTTTAATTTTTACTATAATTTCTTGTAGTGTGTGTGTGTGTGTGTGTGAGAAGGGGATATCCTTGTTTTCAAATGTTTCTTTTACAGTCACTTTTTAATTTTATGTCAGCTTCTTCAAAGTTTGTAAAGTTCCTAAATTTTCCAGGGTTCAGGTGTCATCTGTAGATCTTATAACAGTGTTTTACCTAAGCATGGAACTTGTGGGTGGCCTTAGAGAGCTGCCAGACATGAGGCTGCACCTGATTTCCTTCCTTTCTGGGTGGGCTGTCCTCAGACCTCAAAAAATGTAGTAATGGGCATGTCTACTTTACTTTCTGCACAGTACACAGATTACTTTTAAATGTCACCTGGGGTAGGCATGGCATGTCATTTGACTTGTTCAAGGGAAGTAACTGGGAAATGTCAGTTTTACAAAACTTGAGTTAGAAGCCCATGTTCTCACTGTGTTCTTATGCCAGATGTGTGCTTTCCAGTTTACCAGGGATTTTAAGAGCTGTTTAGTGAGACCAAGTCTTACCCAATACTCACCCTGCATGTCTGCTATGGAGAAGATGAAGTACAGCCTGCCCACAGTGTCATTTATTCACCAGCATTCTGCCCTCACGGCATGCCCATGTTCTTGTTCACTTGCTCAACCATTACCCCAGAAAGAGAAATACTGGTCCCAGTTTCTGGCACTGAAAGCTCTGTATGTAGCAAATATATGTATTCAGGATCTCGTTAACAGTGAAATAACCACAAAGCACAAAGTGTAAATGTGACGCCTTTCTCACTGCTGTTGTGTTGTTTTTTCTAGTGGAGCCAGTACTTTCAAAGGGGAACAATTGCTTGGATGCAGCCAAAGCTTGTAACCTAAATGATACCTGCAAGAGGTTCAGATCTGCTTACATAACCCCCTGCACCAGCAGCACGTCCAATGAGATCTGTAACAAGAGGAAGTGTCATAAGGCCCTGCGGCTCTTTTTTGACAAGGTCCCCCCAAAGCACAGCTACGGGATGCTCTTCTGCTCCTGTCGAGACGTAGCCTGTACAGAGAGGAGGCGGCAGACTATTGTTCCTGTGTGCTCATATGAGGACAGGGAGAAACCAAACTGCCTGAATTTACAAGAGTCCTGCAAGAAGAATTACATCTGCAGGTAAGATAGCACACGGCAGGGGAGTGATTAATGAGGTACCGGAGAGAACTTTTTGGTGCTGATGGATTTGCCAGGACTAAGGGTCAGAGTACCCACTAAGGAAAAGGATGAGTCAGGGAAAAAAAGCAAATGCCTCTGACATCCTTACCAGGGTAACAAAAGCCCTCATTTGCTTACAATGTGTGCATTCTCCAAAACTATCCCCCTCGCATTATGGAGGAGTCTTTAAACCCCCAGTTTAATTTTTATACATTTTTGTTGGAAACATTGTGTGTCTTTATGAAATAGTGTCTCAGTCTGATTTTTATGTCCCATTAGTGACCAGGTAAAAATAGAATTTTTCATTATAATGGGATTTATTTTCATTTTACATGTGAGTGCTGATAACTGGGAATACAAGCTTCATGTTGGACTTTATAAATAGTCACAATGCACAGATTACTCGTGTGTTTTTAATTCATTGGGAAAAAAATGTCCACATGGTAGACAGGATCCCACTATCTTCATAGAAATGGTGTAGCCTTGAAATGGTTTCATCTCCCATCCCTGAGCAGAGTGCTGGGCTGATGTGACTGGGGTTTCATGGATTCACTGACCTAATTCCCAGCCTCTTTCCCTGATGCTCCACGGGACAGGCTGGGTCCCTTCCCCTCCTGGGGTCCCTGCAGGTTCTCACACGGAGTTTATTCAGTGGCAAGCAGGGCCTCCTCTGCCCCAGGAAACGCTTTGCTTCTACTTAGCATTGGGTATGTTTATATTAGAGCATTGTTGTGCTAATGTCATATTTATGAAGTCCTGCCGGAGAACCCTGCTTATTTCTAATGTGTAAATTTCTTGTAGATTATCCAATTCTGTGAATTAGCAAACAAGGGAGATAAACACTATTGTAAAATGTCAAGGACACTGAAGATCTGATCTAAATCTTAATAAGTACTTACTTACGCCTGGTAAAATATTTACTTTGAAGGTTGTTTATGAGATTTCCACTGCTGGTTTTAGGCTTTTTTTTAGCACTTCAGTTGTGCCTGAGTGCTGTTGAGGGGTGAGGAATGAGCAGTGCCCTGTCCTCCATGGCTTTGGGGGAATCTGGAGACACATTTCCTGCTGGCCACCACAGGAGCAGATTGAAGTCAGAGCAGTCTGATTTGCATCCAGCACCTCGATTGCTGATGCTGGTGGAGTTTATCAAAGTTGGGGACATGTCGCCTTGGAACAATCCATTTTCTATTTCCATGTTGCTCCATTAGTATTTTTGCTTCTATGTACCGCCTTCCCTATACACTGTTCATTAGGTCCTGTTAATTAGTAGAGTTTACAGTATTTTTACTGTGTTTTCTGCCACACTATAAGTGTGTTACAGTGCCAGTGAAATTGGAGAGAGGATTTTATAGAGAGACTTCTCCCTATTATTTGGGTTGTATTATTCTGAAACTAACTTGTTAAATTAATACCATTACTTCTCTCATGACTTGTGTTTTTCTTTGGTCAGCTTTGATCTAATGTTGTCTCAGCAGTTAAGTTTTTAATGGCATTTTGTTTCATTTAACTTCATGGGTCTGGTGTTGCTCTTTCTCCATTGCAGTATTGCAGGGGCAAGCTTGGTAAAATCCCTGCCTGAAGTTGCAGCCAGCACTGATATGAAAATGGATTTATTTGTAAATGAGCAGTGGCTTCTTTTGCTTTAGAATATCAAAATTAAAAAGTTTTGGCTCTTCCAAGGCTCAGTGGGACCTGGCTATGAGGGTGAGTGGCACAGTGGTACAAGGGAATGGGTGGGCAAATGCCTGCAGGGCCTGGGGCAGACTCAGTGTAGGCAGCCCTTAGGTCCTGTGGAGGTAAAGCAAGCTTGGTGTGTTGCTGAGAGTCACCTCACCTTGGTGTTACAACCTCCTGGGCTCTCCAAACTGCTGGTGGTTTAATACCTTCCCTCCCTGCTGTCATGGAGAGGAGGAATTGGCACCAAAACTATCCCAGCCTATCAGGCAGTGAAAGACATTTTGTCTCTGTGACTTGTGCACTTAAAGGAAATTGGTGAGATTTGTTCCTCTAGTCCTGCAGGAAAACAGGGGCTTGGGCAGGGCGGGAAAGAAATGGGAGATCTCCTTGCTGTTGGAACTACTGTCATTGATAAATATCAGTCCTTACTGTCCTTATAGTAACTCCAGATATGTTTGGAATAACTAAAAGTAGTAGTCAGTGTAATTCTAACTCTGATAACTTCTATTTCATTTTGAAATCAGAGAGAGTATCTAAATGGCAGAGTATCTAAATGGCAGAATAATTTGAAAATATGGTGAAACCAGGTAATTTAGAAACTTATTTAAATGCCTATTACACCTATTAAAGCCTTTTCATAATGCTAGTTTGGACAAGGGGTACAGGTTCTAAAAGTTTTCTGAAAATATGTTCATAAAGTGGTTTAAGAATGCTGCTTACTCAGAAATGCAAGATTTGAATCTCCCTGTACTGCATATAAAATTTCAGCTGGGCCTGTGTTAAGTATTTAAACATTCAGTTTTGAACACTCTTCAAAAGCTTTATCCCAGTGTATATATCACCAAATCTGTTCTTGAAGCACAGTTAAGAGTAGGGAGGCAATCTGGCCAAACTACAGGGACCACTAACATGGCAGGATGCTTGCTTTTTTATTATCTTTTTATTTAGTACATTAATCTGTTATATAAGAAATGCTCAATCGAGGGATAAAGAGACCTGAAATGTCAGGAAATGCAAATAAGTTCTGACTTATGTAAACAGTCCTAATTCAACTTCATCAGGATGCTGAATGGTTCACTTTGATTATCATTTGTCTGCTGCCTCTGCTTGTATCCCAGTCCTTATCCAGCTTTGAAACAATTGTAGTCTCTCAGGCATGTCTGTCAATGCTCAGTGAAAAGAAAAGAAAAAAAACCAAAAAAACCCAAGAAGAAGCCATTAGGGTTATTTTCTATTGTAAGCATAAACAAATCTTCTAAGAAAAGTCAGTGTACCATCAAAAACTTTCACCAGTGATATCCTGGAATAGCACAAACCTCTAAAGAAGTTTGTGATCTGATCACTTCACCTAACAATTAGTCTTCAGAAAGTTGACTGGCATGTTTTAAGAATATCATCCTGCTGTAAATGCAGGGCAGGGTACTTCATATATGCCACTATCACATTTGGCAATACTGCAAATACTATTTTGCTTGAGTAATGAAAATGTGAGTCATTAGTTTAGTCTTTTTAATAATCTGTGTCTTGAATTTGCATACGTGGGTTTTTTTCCTGGATATACTCAGAAGACACTGACCAGAATGATAATGATACAGACACATTATTGAAATAATGCTATCAATCCATTCATGTGCTGCAAAGATCAGAAAAGAAGGGCAGCATTTTTTTGTTAATAAAAGAAACTGGTAGGACCGTGTTTCTTGTCCTTCACAATAATTATACTCCAAATGACTGGTCAGACCATTGAGGTTCATTTTTGAAGCTCAAATAGCCATAAATTAGTTCTTGACTAATTTCAGAAGACAGTTGTCTTCTTATTTTTTTGCCTTAATTCTGCAAAAGATACATACTGCTGTCTGCAGCTGTTGGACACTGAAAAATTTTACAAAAATATGCTTAACATACTTAAATAACTTCTACATGTGGGATAGGGGAAGGATAATAATGAAATATCCAATTTACATGGGTCATCTCCTTGAAAATACAGTGAAAAATGTTTTCAGCACTGTGTGTTCAGAGAGTAATATCTTTATAAATATGCTTTCACTGATGTGTTCTTACCTCTTGACCAGTTTTTGGTCACCTGTCCTGTCCAATCTTAATTTTGTTGCACCCATTCAGCTGTGCATGAAGGATGTCTGCCTGTGCAGGTATCAGAGCTCTCTGTGAGGATATGCAAACATTGTTGTCAGTGCAGAGAAGAATTCATCCACTGAAAATGTTAGAACAGAAGCTCAGCTGCTTGCTGCATTTCCTGAAAACATCAGAAACTTGCCAAGGAAATAATTTTTGTGATATTCTAATGATAATTTACCTTGGGAAGGGAGGCACTGTGTCTGTGCTCCTTTGCTGTGAGGCAGGTGAAAATCTGCAGGTGCTTTGCATCCAGAACCTGTTGGTAAAAGTTTGGCTTCTCTGTGTGGGTCCTGTGCACTGCCCCTGCAGCAAAAGCCACTGCTGGCTGCAAACCCTGCACCCTTGTGCTTCAGCACTAGAGACAGGTCTGTGGTGAGATGTCACAAAAGTGCAGACACCGTGTCACTGTCGAGGCAGGACAGGAATGAGAAGCCTCTGACCAGAAGGTTGCTGAGAGTAAAACTCCAATTTATTCAAAATACACTGCTCTTTTATACAGAGCTTTGTGAGGACCAACTCCATTGGTCCTGAAGTGAAAACAACCCACAGCATTGGTGCAGAGTGCTTGACGCACAGTGATGGAACTTAACTATAAACAATGTGAAAAACAAGAGAGATAAAGAATTATTTACATTCTTCTCCAGCTCTTTCCCAGGCTTCTGCCTGGCTAGAAACTCTCCGTTTCTCTTTTTGACTGAATCTGAGACCCACACAGCCTTTTTTGTCCTTCTTCAGAATGGGGGAACCCACTGTCTTCTTCTAGGAGGGAGCAATCCCCAGTTCCAGAATTAACAGGGAGCTGGAGGGATGTGCGGGAGGAGATGGAAGAGAGGAAAAAGAAATTTCCCCTTTTCTTCGCATTTTCTATTCCTTCTTCTTAATTTTTCTCACTTTTTTCCATTGCTTTTTTTCCCCCCTCCTACCTTTCCCCCTTGCTTAGTCTCCTTTCATCTCCTCTTCCCAGATCTTCCTGCAATTATCTGACTTTCACCGCCTCTCTGACAGGTTTGAATTCCATTACAGCCACTTATGGTGCCTCCTCACCTACTTCTCTGCGTGTTGTGCTTTTCCTCCCTCAATATCCTGCCACGGTCCAGTGATCATCTGTAATTCAGCAAATGAGAGGGAAAACAAGAGGTGCTGCCTCC